TTTGTTTATAAATAACCCTCATGTCCCACTTTACTTCAAAACTTATATACTTTTTTTTATTTTAAAAAATCCCTGCACTATTTAAAACTGTACAAAATAATATAAACTGGGCACTAACTAAAAATCAAATAAATAAATTTTTTTTTGACCTGGGTATTGAAGCATTTTTTCCAGCTATCCTAACAAGCTTAGTTATGTTAGTGTAAGAAAAAACAATAAGGGCTAAACCTAACTTAAAAAAATTTGTCATAATAGTTGGTATATATTGGTGGGGGGGGGTGGGGGTGGGGGCTCCTTACGTAAACTGTCCTGCACCCCCCCCTGTGGCGAAGGGCAACACCGAAATTTCCCCACGGGGGTGGGGAACGAAATAAAAAAGGGGGAAATTCTTTTTAATAAAATCTTATCTCCTACGTTCCCTCCTGGGGCTCCTCACTGGTAGCTCCTCCTGCTCCCTCCCTTTTTGTGGGTGCTCCCTCTCTCCCTTCCCCCCTCCCTGTCCCCCCCTTCCCTGCTCACCAGAGGATACCAATGGAGAGACCCAGAAAAATAGACCAAAAGGAGAAGAATCCCCAGAAGGGAGGCCAGTGGGGAGCCAAAGAGAGGCCAGAGAGAGGCCCCAGAAGAGAGACCAGAGAAGAGACCCCCAGAGAGAGACCCCAGAGAGAGACCCAGAGAGAGGCCAGAAGAAGAAGACCCAGAGAGAGGCCCCAGGAGGAAAGGAAGGCCAGAAGAAGAGGCCAGAGAGGAGGCCAAGAGAAGCCCAAGAAAGAGGGAGAACCCAGAGAGAAGGCCGCCCAGAAGAAAGGACAGAAGAAAGAGGCCCCCCCAGAGAGAGGCCAAGAAGAAGAGGCCAGAAGAAGGAGGCCCCAGAGGGGGGATGGGGCCCCCAAGAGAAAGAGGCCAGAAGAAAAGAGGCCAGAGAGAGAACCAAGAGGAGAGGGCCAGAGAGAAGAACCGAAGAGAGGAAGGGCCCAGAGAAAGGCCCCAGAGAGAGGGCCCCAGAGATGAAGGCCAGGGAAAGAGAGGCCCCAAAGAGAAGAGGCCCAGGAGAAAGAGGCCAGAAGAGAGAAGGCCCCCAAAGAAAAAGGCCCCGCTCAGTAAGGAGGCCAGAAGATAAGAAAGGACCCAAAGGTGGTCCCCCTAAGTGCCCAAATAAATGAAAGTAGTTAAATGGGGAATTCAAAAGTCAAAAAGGTTTTAAAATTTAGTAAAAAAATAGCCAACAACTTTGAACCCAGTTAAATTAAACATAAAGTGGGGGGGGGTTAGTTAAAAATGGAACGTTCCCCCTGGTGCAGCGGCCGGCCCTCCTCCCGGGTCTGGCAAAGGGGGGCGGGCTGTCCCCTCCAGGCCTCCTTTTTCCACCACAACTCTCCCCAGCTACCAGCCCCTCACCCCCTGACACTCCCCAGAACAGTCTCCCCCTCCCCCCAGCCCTCTGGCCTCTAATCTACAAACCCTAGAAAGAGAGACCGAGAAAAAGAGGGGAAGTCCAACAGAGAGTCCAGAGAGAAGACCAGTTGGGGGGGGAGAGAACCAGAGAGAGACCCCAAGCGAGATAGAGAACCCAAGTTCCCAGGGGGGAAGAGAGAACCAGGAGAGGAAGGACCCGGAGGAGAGGAGCCAGATAGGAAAGAACCGGAGGAAAGAAGACCAGTGGGAGAGAGACCAGAGAAGGAGACCGGAGAGAGACCCAGAGAACAAGACCCCCAGAGAGAGAGGAAACACCAGAGTGGGAGGACCAAAGATAACACATTGGCGAAACCATTTCAATCAAATGTTCACAAATGAAAAAATCCCTGTTTTCCTTTAAATCCCAAATTAAACTAAGTAAAGTAAGGTAATAAAATTTTTATTGTAATATAGCGCCTTGTCACTGCAGACCTAGAGGTTCCCCAAAGCGGTTTACAAATTGGGTTAGTTTTTGGGCATTAAGGTCTCCCTCACCTCCCTCCACAGAAAAGAAAAAAGGGGGAGCGGGGGGGCCCAGTAAAAATAACAGGAGGCCTAACATGGCCAGAAAAGAAACCTAAATTGTTAAACAATGTTTTTTAAAAGATGGGTAATAGGGGGGAAAAAAACCAAGTAAAACCCGGAGGAAACCTTAATGGGGGCAGACCAAACGGGGAGAAACAATGCAAACCTCCCCCCACTCCCCAAGAAAGGGGCCCTCGGGGTCCCTCCGAACCCGGAATTCCGAACCCAGGAACCTCTTTCCTTGTCCCCGAGAGGCCGAGAGTGCCTACCCCACTCAGCCCCTACCCCATGCACGCCCCAAAAAAAACTGGACTAAAAGGGTCCCTGGGGGGTTCCAACTCCCAGGGCCTACTGGTCCTCGAGGGGGCCCCGCTTTGACCCTCGAGGGGCCCCCCCCCCTCTTGGACACTGGGGGGACCCAAATCAGGAGCAAGGAACCCTCCTTCTACTTTTCCTCTGGAAACTGGGAAAGTGGGGGAAAAGGAGTCCCCTTGCTTGTTTGGGTAGGGTCACACACCAGTGGGGGGGGGGGGGGCCGGGTCCCCCGGCTCTCAAAAGGTTGGGCCAAAAAAATGAAAACGTGGGCCGCTGGACATGGCCTGGGCAATACCCAACCCCGGGCCTGGTGGGGGGGTGGGACCCCAGAACGTTAGAAAAATTAAAGCCAATGGCGGTGGGGGGGCCCCGAACATAATAGCATAAAAATTGGGGGCCAGAAACCCTCTCCCCGAAAACGTCTTTTTAAGAATGGTTCCCCTAAAAGTGGGCTTCCCTTGGGCCAGATGGTGGCCCTGGGGGTTGTGTTAGCTGGGGGTTTAATACAAGGCAAGCCAAAAACCAAACAGAGTTTGGGGGGGGTGGTGGGCAACTAAAGGCGCCTAATATACACCAAGAAAAAAGCAAAAATACCCACCCCGTTTTTGCAATGTTTTGGAATTGGTTTAGCAAAACCCGCCCCCCCCAACTCGCTCCAATGGGCTTTCTCAATTTCCCCCTACGCTTCTCTCCCATAAAAACAAAAGAGCCCACCTAAAGAAAGTTGTTATTTTGCGATCTGGATAAAGAACTATGGTGGGGGTAAAACCATTTTAAAAAGCCATTAAAAAGCGCAAACTTCCCCTTGTAAGCTTGGGTAAAAACAACCAATCACTGGGGAAATGAAATGGGCACTAAAGCCAAACTACAACGCACTGGCTTTAAACCACAATCCCCCCTCTCTCAAAACAATACAAAACTAACGGAGGAGGAAAAGGGGAAAAGAGAAGAGGAATTTTTGTGTTAAGCTAGTGGGGCCGTTTTGGCTGTTTGAGTGCCCAATTTCACAGTGGGGGATTGTTTTTGGGGTACAATAGCTTACAAAGGGAAGTTTTTGGCCGCTAATGCTTTAATGTTTAGCACATGTAATCAAGATCCGCAAAAATAAAACTAAGGTGGGCTTCCTTGTGGTTAATGAAAAAGAGCGTAGGGGAAAAAGTGGAAGAAAGCCCAGATTGAGCGGAGTTTGGGGGGGGCGGGTGGGCTAAACTTTCAAACCATTGGCAAAAACCGGGTAAAATAAGCGCCTTTAAAGTGGGGGGCCACAAACTCTGATTGGGGTTTTGCGTGCCCAAAATGGGTATTAACCAGCTTTACCAACAAAGCAACCCATCTGGCCCAAAGAGCCCCCAACTTTAGGACCATTCCCTAAAAGGACGTTTTTCCGAGAAAGGTCCTTGGGGCCATCTGCTAATATTCCCGGCAATTTTGGCTAATTCCCCCTAAACTTCCTTGGGGGTCCCAACCCCCCCTCAGGCCCCGGGGTGGGGTAAAAAATTTGCAATAGCAAATAGTCCCAGGCGCACCGTTCCCCTCCCATTTTTTGGGGGCCCACTTTTGGAAGCCGGGACCCCCCCGCCCCCACTGGGGTGGGGGGGGGGGGTTTGAAAAAACTCCAACAAGCAAGACCTTCCTCGCACGTTCAGGTTTCCAAGAGGAAAAAGGTGAATGAGTCCCCCTGCTCTGATTGGTCCCCCCCCCCCAATACCCAGAAGGCCCCCCCTGGAAGGGTCAAGAGGCCCCCCTGAAGGAACCCCAGAGGCCCCTGAGTGGGGGAACCCCAGACCTTTAAAGTCCCAGTTTTGGGCGGCATGGGTGGGCTGAGTGTGGGGGATAGCACCTCCTCCCGCCTCTCGACAAGAAGGTCCTGGGTTTTCGAAATCCCGGGTCCCCGGGGACCAAGGGCCCCCACCTTTTTCCTGGGAGTGGAGGGTTTGGGGCATGTTCTCCCCCCGTGGTTTCTGCATAAGGTTTCCCCTCCCGGGTAACTCTGGGGTTCCCCTACCCATTAAAAACTATGGGTTACAATAAGGTCCGGCAATGGTGCCCCCCTCCTGGGGTACTGGCCCCCCGCTCCCCTATCGTTCTGTGGGAGGGAGTGGAGGAGACTAAAAAATGCCCAAATAAATAACAATTGTTAAGACCGCCTTTGGAAGACCTCCTGGTCTGCAGTGGGGGGAACAAGGGCGCTAATAAAAATAAAATAAAATATTTAACTTACTTACTTAAAGTTTTAATGGAATAAAGAAACAGGAATTCCCCCAATGGTAAAACATTGATTAAAACATGGGTTAGCAATTTGGGGGGGGGGGGGTTAAATTCTGGTCCCCCCCCCTCACTCTGGTCCCCCCCTCCCCTTCCTTCTCTGGTCCCCCCCCCCCCCCCTCTCTCCTGGTCTCTCTCCGGTCCCCTTCCTCTCCTGGTCTCTTACTCAACTGGTCTCCTCTTCCCGGTTCCCTCTCCCCTCTGGGTCTCCCTCTCCGGGTTCCTCCTCTCTGGTCTCTCTCACCTGGTCTTCTAAATCCTCGCTGGTCCTCCCCCCTCCTTCCCCCTGGGTCCTCTCCACTGGGGTCACCCCCCCCCCCCCCCCCCTCCCCTTCTTCTGGGAAACTCTCCCCCCTGTGGGGACTCTCCCCTGGGCCCCTCTCCCCTTTCTGGGGTTGTTTTTGGGGGTAAGATAGAAGCCAAAGAAGGCCTGGGGGGAGATGGGTCCTGGAGTGGGGTCCCCCCAGGGGGTGGGGGGGGGGGGAGGCTGGTGGGGGGGGGGCTTGGGGAGAAGGTGTGTGGAAAGGAGCTTGAAGAACAGCGCCCCCCCCTGCAGACCACGGGAGGCCGCGCTGGCACAAGACGTACCCCCCAATAACTAAACACTTTTTAATTATAATTTTAACTGTGTTCAAAAGTGGGGTGGGGGGGGCTAATACAAATAAAAACCCCTTGAACTTTGATATCCATTTCCAAACTACTTTCAATTATTGGGAACTAGACCCCCCTGGGGGTCCCTTCTATCTCTGGGCCTCCCCCCTCTGGGCCTCCCTTTCTTTGGCCTCCCCCTCCGTCCCCTGGCCCTCTTCGCTGGGGCCCTCCTCCCCCTCTTGGCCTCCTCTCCTGGCCCCCTCTCTCCTGGGGGCCACTCTCTTCTGGGCCTTTTCCTCTGGCCTCTCTCTGGGTCCTCTCCTCTGGGGCCCCTGCTACTCTGGGTCCCTCTCTCTGGCCTCCCTCCTCCTGGGCCTCTTCCCCTCCTGGGCCTCCCTCCCCCCCCTGGCCTCTCCCCTCTGGGGCCTTCCCTCTCCCCGGCCTCTCTTCTGGCCGCTCTCTGGGGCCTTTCCTCTGGGGGGCCCCCTCTCCTCCTGGGTCCCCCCTCCCCTCTCTGGCCCCTCATCTCTGGCCTCTCCTCTGGCCTCTACTTCCTGGCCTCCTCTTCTGGGCCTCTTCCCTCCTGGTCCTCCTTCCTCCTGGGCCCCTCTGCTCCCTGGTCCTTCCCTCCTCTTCTGGGTCCCTCCCTCTCTGGGTCCCCTCTCATCTGGTCTCCTCCCTCCCCTTTGGCCCCCCTCTTCCCTCTGGCCTTCCCTCTCTGGGCCTCCCACTGCCCTCCCCTCCTGGATCTCTCCCCCTTTGGGGGGGTCTAAAATTTTTTCCTGGTCCCCTCTCAAATTGTTTATCCCCTCCCCTGTGGAGCAAGAAAGGACAGAGGGGAAAAAGGAGAAAGGAAGCACAAAGAGGAGCAAAGGAGGAAGGGTAAACAGTAAGAAGGAAAGCAGGAGGAGTAAGAGGGATAAAGAGATAAGAAATTTTTCCTTTTAATTCGTCCCCACAGTGGGGGGAAATTTTCCGGGTGTTGTGGGCAATCCGCACAAGACAGGACAGTAAGTAAGAGCAAAAACACACAAATAAATTAAAATAAATACACTAAAATATACAAATTAAAGTAGTAGAATTAAAGAAAAAAGCTTATGGTTTTCTTAAACTAACATAACCCTAGCTTTGGTTTTAAAGATGCTGACAAAAATTGCCTATCAATAAAAACCGAGTCCAAAAATATATATGGTAATAAAAAAAGTTAGGTGCAATTAATATAAATTGTTAAACAGGTTAAATAGTGAGGATAAAAAAAAGTAAAATATTAAAAAGTTAAAAGTGACATATGAAGGTAAAAAGTGGAACATTGTTTCCCTGGTGGACATTCCCTGAAGTTTTGCCAGTAATTTTGGCACATTGCCCACATGATTTTAAAGGAATTTAACCTTATTTACAGAATGGAAATCAAATTTTTACCAGGCCTCAGCAGTTCTTATTTGTAACAGTCCCCCTGACAGCAAGCAGGAATGAAAGACCCTCTTAACGGTATACCTCTCCGGGGTGGGGCTTCACACCAAGCGAGGGTGGGAATTTGTCCCCCCCTGGTCTCTGAAGCCTTGCCTCCTCCCAAGAGGCCAGTAGAGAAGATTTCCCCTGCCAGGGGGGCGACAGTCCCCCATGGGTCCAGCATAGAAATGTTAAAAAAGGTTTTGCCTCAGGACCCTCCTGTCCAGCCCCCACCCTGGCTGCACTGGGTGGGGGGGGGGGTCCCAGGGAACGCCCCAGGACTGGGGGGGGGAAGCTGGGACTTCCTGGAAATGACCTTTGTCCAGCTTTCTTCCCTGTCCCCTCTCTGGGTGATGGCTGGCTGGCTCCAGCAGAACCCAACACCATTAACAAAAGATATGGGCGTTGATGCCCCCAACCACAGAAAGTCAGTAGAAAAAGGGTCCCCCCCCCCTTCCCCAAGGAGTGGCCCTGGGCAACCTCCCAAAAGAAAACCCTTGAAAGCGCTCCCTCAAGCAGGTTAAAGAGGCCCCCCCGGCTTTCCCTGGCCCCCTGTCCTTTGAAGAGGGCGTCCTGTGGGGGTTATGAAAATCCCTAGTCCCCAAGTCCCCAATAGAGAGAGCAGGAAGGAGTAAAAAGAAGAGGAAGGCAAGAGGAAGGTAGAAAAAAGAGAGGAGCAGGAGGAGTTTTAAGAGAGGAGCAGGAGGAAGTAAAGAGCAAGGGAGCAACAAAAAAAGGAGGGAAGTTAAGAAGAGAGGGAGCCCCAGGAGGAAGTAAAAAAAGAGAGGAAGTAAAAAAAAAGAAGAGAGGACAGCAGCAGGAGGAGTTAGAGAGAGGGAAAAGCAGGAGGAGTGTTAAAAGAGTGGAACAGAAAAGAGTAAAAGAGAGGAGCAGGAGGAGTAGAGAAGGAGGCAAGGAGGAGTAGAGAGAGGACAAGGAAGGGAGTTAGAGAGGAGCCAGAAGGAGTAGAGAGAGGAAAGCCAGGGAGGGAAAGTAAGAAGGAAAGGATTTCTAGGAAGGATAACAGAGAGAAGCAAGGAGGAGTAAAGAGAAGAGGAGCCAGGAGGAGTAGAGAGAAGGGAGCAGAAGGAGTAGAGAGAGGAGCAGGAAGGAGTAAAGTAGAAAGACGGGAGCAAGGAGAGTAAAAGAGAGAAAGGAAGGCGACGAAGGTGTAGAGAGGAAGCAGGAGGAAGGTTAAAAGAAGAAAGGAGCAAGGGAGGAGGTGTAAGAGAGGAGGAGCATGAAGGGAAGTAAAAGAGAGAAAGGAAAGCCAGGGAAGGAGTAGATGAGAGGAGCAAAGAAAAGGAGTAGAGAGGATAGGGAGCAAGGAGGAGTAGAAAGAGGGAGCAAGGAGGAGTAGAGAGAGGAGCAGGAGGAGTTAAAGAGAGCAGAAAGGAAGTTAAAAAGAAAGAGAGGGAGCAGGAGGAGTAGAAAAGAAAGAGGAGCAGGATGAGTATAAAAAGAGAAGGAGCAAGGAAGATAGTAAAAACAGGAGAGAAAGCAGGAAAGGGAGGTAAAGAGAGAGGGGAAGCAGGAGGAGGTAAAGAGAAGAAGGAGCAGGAAGAATAGAGAGAGGAGCAGGAAGGATAGAAGGAGGAGTAGAGAGAGGAGCAGAAGGAGTAAGAAAGAGAAGGAGCAGAGGAAGTAGAGAAAGGATGCAAGGGAAAGGAAAAGTTAGAGAGGGGGCAGGAGGAAGTAAACAGAGAGAAAGCCAGGAGGAGTAAGAGAAGAGGAGCAGAAGGGAGGTAGAGAGAGGAAAGCAAAGGAAGGAAGTATAAGAGAGGAGCCAGGAGTTAAGTAGAGAGAGGAAAGCAAAGGGAAGGAGTTTTAGAGGGAAGAGGAAGTAAATAGAGAGGAGCAGGAAAAGGAGTAAGAGAAGAGCAGGAAGGAGTATACAAAGAGGGAGAAAAGCAGGAGGATAAAAAAGAGAAGGAGGAGCAGAAAGGTGTAAAAGAAAAGAGAGGGAGCAGAAGGAGTAAGAGAGAAGAGAGCAGGAAAGGAGTTTAGCGAGAGGAGCAGGTGGAGTAAGAAAGAGAAGGAGTAATAGAGAGGGAGCAGGAGGAGGTAAGAGAAGGAAGCCCAGGAGGAGTAACAGAGAGGAAAGCAGGGAGGAGGTAAAAGAGAGAGGGAGGCAAGAAGGAGTAGAGAGAGGAGCAGAAGGAGTAAAGAGAGAAGGAGCAAGGAGGAGTAAGCAGAAACGAAGCAAGGAGGAGTAGAAGAGAGGAGCAGAAAGAGTAAGAGAGAGGAGCCAGGAGGAGTAAAGAAGGAGGAGCAGGAAGGAGTAGAGAGGAGCAGGAAAGGAGTAACAGAGAGAAAAAGCAAAAAGGAGGGGGAATAGTAAGAGAAAGAAGGAGCAGAAAGGGGGAGTAGATGAGAGGAAAAAAGCAGGGGAGGAATAAGTAAAAGAAGAGGGAGCCAGGAGGCGTAGAGGAGAGGAGCCTAGAGGAAGGTTTAAAGAGAAAGAGATGGAAGTAAAATAAATAGGAAGAGGAGCAGGAGGAGTAGAGAAAGGGAAAGCAGAAAGGAAAGTAAATAGGAGAGAGGGAGCAAGAAAGGAGTAAAGAAGAGGAGCAGGAGGAGTAGAAAGAAGAGGAAAGCCAGGAGGAGTAAGAAGAAGAGGGAAAGCAAAGGGAGGAGTAAAAGTAAGAGAGGGAGCCCCCAGAGGAAGGTAAAGAAGAAGGAGCAGAAAGGGAAAGTAGAGAAGAGGAAGCAGAAGGAGTTAAGAAGAGAGGAGCAGGAAGGAAGGGTAAAGAGAGAAGGAGCAGGGGAGGGAGGTAGAAAAGGAAGGAAAGCAGAAGAGGAAGGAGCAGAAAAGGAGTAGAAGAAGAGGAGAAGAAGGAAAGTAGAAGAGAAGGAATAGCCAGGGAAGGAGTAATGAGAAGGAGGAAGCAGGAGGAGTAAGAGAAGAGGAGGAGGAGAGTAGAGAGGAAAAGCCAGGAGGAAAAAGTAGAGGAGAGGAAGCCAGGGAGGAGTAAGAAAATGAGGGGAAGCAGAAGGAGTAGAAAAGAAGGAGCAGGAGGGAAAGTAGAGAGGAGGAGCTAGAAAGGAGTAGAAGAAGAGGAGCAGAGGAGTTAGAGAAAAAGAGGAGCAGAAGGAGTAAAGAGAAAAGGAAAGCAGGAGGAAGTCAGAAGAGAGGGGAGCAGAAGGAGTAAAAAAAGAGAGAAGGAAAAGCAAGGAGAAGGTAAAAAAAGAATGAGGAGGAAGTAACAAGGGAAGGAGGAAAGAGGAGGAGCAGAGAGAGGAGCAGAAGGAGGTATAAAGAGAGAGGTGCAGAAAGGAGGGTAAAAAAAGAGGAAGAGGATAGCAAGGAGGAGTGAGAAGAGGGAGCAAGGAGGAGTAAGAGAAGGGAGCCCAGAGAGAAGGAGCAAGAAAGGAGTAGAGAGAGGAAAGCAGAAGGGGAGTAAAGAGAGGAGGAAAGCAAGGCAGGAGTAGAAGAGAGGAACAAGGAAGGAGTTAAACAAAGAGAAGCAGGAGGGGGGGAGTAGAGAAGGAGCAGGAGGAGTAGAGAGAAGGGAGCAAAAGGAGTAGAGAGAGGAGCAGGAGGGAGTAGAGGAGCCAGGCACCTTTAAGTGTGGAGGCCCGTAAAAGGTGCTCTAGAAGATGAAACAGACCAGCACTAAACAATAAAATAAGGGCAAGAGGGGGAAAGGCAGAGGGGGAGCAAAGAGGGGGAGGCAAGAGGGGGAGGCAACTTACTCCTTATTGGGCGGCTGCTGTCTTCCTCCTCCCCCCCTCAGTCCCCACTTTTACTGCTCGAGTTTGCCAGATGTGGGGGCCGAGTCCCCAAACCCTGGGGATCCTTCCCTCTGAGGGTAGTTGGGGGAAGATGGTTGTGGGAAGTGGGTAAGTCCGGTAGCTCTGGAAATCCAAGGGTTCTCAGTGGGGGGAAGTTTATAAAAGAAAGGCTGCGTTCCCCCCCTCCCGCGCAACTGGAGGTCTCCGAGCTAGGCCGCTAAGCAAAATTAGCTTACAGCCAAGGCCCGTACCGCCCTCAAGGGACATAGCGGAAGGTCGCCAAGCTTTAGGGGAAAAGGCAGGAGGAGAAACCTAAAGCGAGCCCCCTGAGCCCCCCCCCTCCCCCAGCCCCGGCCCCCCCCTCCCCGCAGCTGGGTCAAGACCAGGGAATAGTTGGGGGATGGGGGCTTTTGTGGGACGTGGGTTCGGAAAGGGGCGACGGTGGGTTGTGTTGGTAAAAAGTTTCCCCCCATTGGGGCCCCTCCCCCTCCGCTGGGACGCTTCTGGTACCCCGGGGAAAGGAAGGGCCCCCCACTGAAAGAGAAGGCCCCAGCCTGAAGAGGAGCTGGCTGAGAGAGCCCTGTCCCTG